TTAAAATGATTTTGTTTCCTGTTTCAGTAGTCTTATAGCATGTTTTGCTTGTGTGCTTTGTTTGTCGCGTAGATTTCGGCCGTTTCGTCGATCCGCGGTTTCTCGAAGACGTTGCTGAGGTCTCATCAGTGCGAGAGACAGGCAAGTCATGCTTTACATTTGATCATATTGTACCCAATTTACAAATACCTTGCATTTCTATTAATTGTTGCACTCTTTTACAATGTCATGTGGGATGGGTCCTATTACTCAGCCATATATCGTTTACCATATGCCATTGATAACTGGGGTATCAAAATGATTAGATGTTGGTTTAGGAAATGCTTAGCCATGCTTAGTTCAACTAGTACACAAAAGGGGATCACATTATTACATGAGCATAGTTCAATTTTGACTATGAGCATAGTTCTGGTTGGTGCCACCGCAATGGTGTTAGTTATTTAAAATACACTGAATGGTGGGTTGTGCGTGCATGGTTTTGCTGGTCGCACCCATGGCAATTAAGGACCGGTTCACGGGAAACACTGGGAGACTTACCGTGCTTACCACAAGCGGGAGTGGGTAACTGCTTGATCTGAGGTATAGCTCAACCCTTTCCTAGGCACCGGTGGCGAGGGTGGGCGTGATGGAGTTGGGTCGGCCGGGGTGTCCGGTTGTCTAGCTGCCGGATTCACCGCGGCACAAGAGGGGACCGCCCACTACCTTTTGAGGGGTGGGGGTGAAACCTTAGCATGGTGTGGATGGTTAGGGAAGGGTTATGAGGAGGGTCTTGTCACGATTTCCCCCTTTGCAGTGTCATGGTGATACTTCGGGGCATGGCGACATGTGTGGAATCGTGTCTTGTGGGTACAGTTGTACACCTCTGCCAGAGTAAAACTATTCGAATAGCCGTGCCCGCGGTTATGGGCGATCAACCAGATTTACCGTGATTAGTCTCACCCCTAGTTTAGCTTAATGAACTGGTGTAGTTCAGGTGGTTGGTTGGGCCTATTGCAATGTGGTGTAGCGTTGGACAATGTTTGGTTAATATTGATTAATTACTACAACTGTTTTACTGCTTTCAACTACTGTTTTTAAATGCCTGCTTTGTGCAAAGAGCCTTTAGCCTCCTTCGGTTATATCCTGCATCATACCTCCTCTTCCGGTATGACTTGCTGAATACAGTTGGTAGTACTCAGTCTTGCTCTCTTTTCCCCCACACCAGAGCTGAAGATCTTCCTAGTGGGAAGTGTCTTACCGAAGTTGATTTCGTCGCTGTCGTCAAGGATTACCTGTGGAGTGGAGTCACCCCGCTGCAGAAGTCAAGTTTCCAAGTCTAGCTCGTTTTTCTTTTCTGCTGCATTTGTAATCATCTCCATTTTTGTAAGACGTGGATCTGTATGTCAAAAATTGTCGTTTGTGTACCCTGGCTGGTCCTAGACAGGGATTTAATGCACATTCAGCTTCGAAATTCTGGTTCGTGAATTTCTGGGCATGACACATGTCTTCTTGGCACTCAGTCCACTCAGTGACGAAGTCGGCTAAAGCTTGGGACTTGATCGAAGTTCGCGGCATGAAGGATATATCCAGGGACATCAATTCTAAGGCCCACTTTGCTATCCGCCCATTTGCTTCACGATTATGAAGTATATCCCCGAGTGGAAACGATGTGACCACCGTGACCGAGTGACCTTGGAAGTAGTGAGGTAATTTGCTGACGGTCATTAAAACACCATATAACAGCTTTTGAACCTGAGGATATCTTGTCTTGGAGTCAGCCAAAACCTTGCTAACGAAGTAGATTGGTCGTTGGACTTTTTGAACATGGCCTTCTTCTTCACGCTCAACAACTAGGACTGTGCTTACAACCTGGGAAGTTGCCGACACGTATAACAACAGCGGCTCTTGCGGATGTGGTGAAGCTAAGACTGGTGGAGTAGTGAGAAGTTTTTTGAAGTCTTCAAAGGCTTTTTGTGCTTCGGGTCCCCACTAGAAATTGTCTGTTTTCTTCAACAGCTTGAAAAAGGGCATCCCCGGCTCGCCGAGTCGTGAAACAAACCGGTTGAGCGCCGCCATGCAACCGGTCAGCTTTTGAACATCTTTCTAGGAGCTCGGCGGTTTCATGTTGAGGATGGCATTGATTTTCTCCGGGTTGGCTTGTATGCCTCTACGGGACACCATAAATCCAAGCAGCTTCCCTGACGGTACTCCGAAGATGCACTTTTGAGGGTTTAGTTTCATCCTGAAAGCGCGGATGCTTGCAAAGGTCTCTTCTAGATCCGTAATCAAATCATCCTTCTGCTTGGTCTTGACGACTAGATCATCCACATAAGCTTCAACGTTGCGGTCGATTTGAGTTGAAAAACATCTTTGGATCATGCGTTGATAAGTTGCTCCTGCGTTCTTTAATCCAAACGGCATGGTGATGTAGTAGTAGGCCCCGAAGGGCGTGATGAACGAAGTCTTTAAGCAGTCGGATCTGATGATATCCTGAGTACCAATCCACTGAGTAGCTCGCAGCCGGCCGTTGAGTCAACTACCTGGTCAATGCGAGGTAACGCAAAGGGATCTTTGGGGCAAGACTTGTTGAGGTCGGTGTAATCAACACACATGCGCCATTGTCCCGTCTTCTTCCGAACTAGGACTGGGTTGGCCAGCCAGTCGGGATGAAGGACTTCCTTGATGAAGCCTGCTGCTAACAGCTTGGTCAATTCCTCCTTGATCGCATCCTTCCTATCCTGTGCAAAACGGCGGAGTCGTTGCTTGATTGGTTTAGCGTCTTCCTTAACAAGTAAAGAGTGCTCAATCACCACTCTAGGAATACCAGGCATATCAGATAGTTTCCACGCAAATAAATCTTTATTATTTTGAAGAAAGATGATGAGCGCGCTTTCCTATTTACAATCTAACTCAGCGCCTATTACAGCAGTCTTAGTAGGATCAGAGGAATCTAGGGGAATCTTCTTGGTCTTGGCGTCGCCTTCTCCGCTCTTTGGCATCTTGGTTGCGGGCACTTCTCCTTCGCTTGCTGTGGACGTAGCCAGTCGGATTTCTTCTCGGGCGAGCGTGATCTCGCGGGTCTGGGCCATCTCACAGCTTTCCTTGTCGCATGTGACGGCTTGCTTGATGTCACTCCGCAGGGATATGTCTCCTCGAGGACCAGGCATCTTCATCATCATGTAGGTATAGTGCGGGACAGCCATGAACTTGGCTAACGCCGGGCGTCCGAGTATGACATGATGTTCTCTGTACGGAAATTCTCCCGAGTGCTGAAAGTAATAGGAAGAGTGTGGCCGAGTGGTGTAACAAATAGCCCCGGGATGACTCTGTGAAAGGGCGCATTACTCGGCTTTAATTCCGTGCGAGGGATCTGCATGTCGTCCAGGGTCTTGGCGAAAAGGAGGTTGAGTGCACTGCCACCATTGATGAGGGATCTGCGAAGCTTGACGTTGTGAACCACCGGGTCTAGTACCAGGGGGTACCGTCCCGGGTGGACCACTCGGTCTGGATGATCCGAGCGGTCAAACTTAATCGTTGTCTCTGACCACCGAAGATATTGGGGCGTGTCAGGTTGAGCAGCGTTGATCTCCGTTCGGTCAGCTTTTGCTTTCTCTTGGATTCATAAGCCAGGGGTCAACCAAAGATGTGGTTGAGCTCCTTGCGATGGTCTTGGAAACCAGTCAGTGCATCATCTTCACCATCCTTCTTCTTTGACGTGCTTTGATCTCCGTCGGAGGCTTTATGTGCGTTCTTGGCGTATTGTTCTGCAAACTGTTTGTAGACGAAGCAATCTTTGGCCGCGTGATTGGAATTGGGATGATGCGGACATTGGGAGTTCATAATCTTGTCAAAGGTGTTGACGTGCGAACGTTGTCGGGAGGATGGTGTAGTAGTTGCCACAAGTTCCTCGGGCTTACGCTTGCGATCCTTGTGATTGGTACTTCCACTCCCCCCTGTAGTCGGTGTATCTTTCTTCGGCTTCCAAGTGGTGCCCGACTGCTTGGACGTGGTAATGGCATCTTCGGCTTTGGCATACTCATTGGCTTTTTCGAACATCTGCTTGACCGTCCTGGGAGGCTTGCGCCCGAACTTGCCGACTAGGTCTGTGTGGCGAACGCCCTTGGTGAAGGCGGCGATGATGACGTCGTCGGTGATGTCGGAGATCTTGTTGCGTTGCTCGGAAAAGCGTCGGATGTAATCTCGAAGGGATTCTCTAGACTTCTGAATGACGTTGTAGAGATCAAACTGTGTACCAGGGCGTTCAAAGGTACCCTGGAAGTTGGCGATGAAGTGGTCGCGAAGTTCCGCCCATGATCCAATTGTGCCACAGGGTAACCCGTGAAGCCAGGACCGGGCAGAATCCGCTAGGGCCACAGGCAAATAATTCGCCAATTGCGAGACCGTAGACGGTGAGCCAAGACTCCGGGTTAGTGGTGCCGTCATACTTCTCGATTCCAATCGGCTTGAAGCCGGCTGGCCAATCCACTCGACGCAGGTCGCTTGTGAAGGCAGCAACTCCATCCACGTCGTCGTCGTAGCGATCTGGAGAATGGTGGGGAGCGTAGCCTCTTGCCGCGCGGCGCTGGTTGATAGTATCGCGAAGATCGACGGGGCGCCTGCGATGTGGGGAGTGTGGTCATTCAACTCGATGCTCCCTGTGTCGTTTGGGTGGCGAGTGGATAGATCGCTCGTCGTGACCCCTACTCCTGCGAGTAGATCCCGCGCCGACGACGCTGAGGCTTGGTTGGTGATAGTCTTGAGATCGAAGATGGGGAACTCGGCTGCCAGTCGGCGTGTGGACGCTTGCGGAGTTAATCGGGACCAAGGCGGCGATCATGGTCTTGGTCTGGTTCAAGATGTTGACGACGTGATTGGCTTGATTGAGCGCGTCTTCCTTGAGGAGGATGTCGAGGAGGGTGATCGCTGCAACCGCGTTCTGTTGGGGGGGCGGAAAACCGCTGTCCCCTCGACGTCTTGTTGCCCAATAAGTTCCTATGCTTGTCGCCCGGCATCCAGGGCACGTTGTCGCCAGTCCTCAGCCTCTTTTGCAGCCCGTTCGCGTTCCTGTGGCTCACATTGTAGCCGTTCTCGCTCTTATGCTTGGCGCTCCTCTTCCAGTCGGCGTCGTTCGGCTTCCTGTTGTACACGTAGTTCTTCTGCTTCTCGGGCTTTACGCTCTTCTTCCGTCTCATTGTCAGCCATGAAGATGCCGAAGTAGAGGGGTGTGTAGTTGTCTTCAAAGCCTTCGTCGAAGTCGTCGAGGTTGCGTAGTCGTAGCGGTAGCCGAAGTCGTCGTACTCCACGATCTCCGATGGTCGCGAGTCGATGCCGGGGGAGCTGAGGTAGCCATCCAGTTGTTCGTCGAAACCGTGCCGAGAGGCTGGAGTATGACACCGACTTCCCTGGAGCTAGGCCGGGCCGGGGCTAAAGCCGGATCCCACCTAGGCCTACGGGGAGAAGACGCCCTTGTGGTGAATACAGCAGCCAAATCATCGGGAGTTTCATCAGGATTGGCGGATAGGCCCCATCGTCTTGATCGGGTCGTGTTGAAGTAGATTGGATCCCGTCCGAGTGGTTTGAAGCCAACTCGGTGGAGATGATCTTGGGGTAGACCTCGGCCGAGTTCGGGATACCGAACTAGGTGGAGATCTGGCCTCTTCCCGACTGGTTTGAATCCGAGTCGAGGAGAGAAATCTTGCCGAAGTCGTTGGTGATGAAGTCGAGGCTGCCGAATTGGAACGCCTGCCCGGGAGGGAAGACAAAGTCGTCGATGCCGGAAACGAAACCCATCGCACTAGTCGGCGAAGAACTTGACGCTTCCCATACCTGGCGTGCCAACTGTTGAAACAAGATTTCGACAATACTAAAAGGGGGTGGCTATCAGGCTGGAAAAGTGGATGGGTTTAAAGACAAGGAATTTTATACAGGTTCAGGCCTTCTTAATCAAGAAGTAATACCCTACTCCTGTCCGGGGATTGATCCACCAAGTATATTATTGATCATATGATCTGGGAAAAAATCGTGCCCCTAGAGGCACCCGTACCTCTCCTTATATAGGGGAAGGGGTCCGTATTACAAAATACAGTCCATATCCCTAACGGAATATGTAGTTACAGATAAAATACAATCGTAACCGACTAGGAACTCGGATGTATCCTTGACATACAAGTTTAGAATTTAACCCGAGTCCTTCTAAAGATATTCTATCTAGACATGGCACCCCATATCCAGTCGGACTATAAATGCCTTGTAGGCATGGGGTATCCATAATCTCCACACAGCTATAGGTTGGGCATGTTTTATATGGTGTAGGATTACATTATAGGGTATATACTGTTTGCCACAAGCGTTTTGACTTTGTTCTGATCGAAATGAAAAGATTGACCTGCTGAACACACTCCGTTCACGTCGAGTAGCCATAGTAGCTTAGAACCGAATGTAGGCACACATCGTAAAGTTGTAAATGCAACCATAGTAGACGGTGACGATAATTAATTTCAACAATGTACTAGGATTTATCCTTACAGAGGCATTATGTTTAAACTTGCATGACATTTTTATTCAGATTTGTATCACCCCGATGTTTCAACTTGTCACACACGATGATGCATGACTTTATTTTTCTCTCCTGTACTACTATACTGCTACAATTCAATACCAGATACCACCGACGGTGGGAATGCTACAGGGAGCAGTGTTGTAGCTTGGGTAGATACCGCATATTGACGGCATGTTTAGGGCCAACATAGCTTGGGCTTGAGCTTGACTCTGATCGAAGTAGACGCTAGCAAACTGTTGTAGCCGTAGCTGCTGCACAATAGCCTGAACACTGCTAATGGCCTGGCAGTGAGACTGTTGTGCGATCATCCTGAGCTGTTGGCAGCACTGCTGCTGCATGACTTGGCAGTTTCTCAGTTGAAACACGGGTGATTGGAAGAAGGGGGTTGCCACTGTGCTGCACTGCTGCCTTACGAACTCACCGCATGGGCTAAGCATCTGTTGCTGCAGCATGAGATGCGGCTGCAGCTGATATTGCCTGTAAACTTGAGTAACAGCATCAAACTGCGCAGAGGCACTGCATGCAGCAATAGCAAGGAGAGCAAAGAAGAAAATGATCTTCATTGTGGTGGGTTTCTAGTTCTTATGCTTTTGCTGTAATGTTTGAGTTGTGAGAAGAATGAAGGGGGTTTACATTGTGCTTGTCTATTTATAGATGCGATGGATGGGTTTTCTTTGAATTCCTTATCGGTTGCTTTAGAGTGTTTGTTTTGGTTGGATATTCTATTAGGATCAGAGTGAGTCATGTCGTTTGGATGTTACATGATGTGCCTCCACAGATGTCCTTGTAGACCATCTTCAAAGTAACTTTATTGCCCATCACAGATACTTGATGGTTAGCAAGATAGATAATGTTATGACTCCTCACTCACTTTATATTTTAGTGTGACATGGATTGCTGTCCTTTTCAAACTAAGTTTGTTATGTATTGTAAGCTATTGTTTTACAAATGCACTTTACATGTCAAGGGCGCGTGGAACTTTAATGATATATGTAGAAATATATTTGTATGTGTAAAGTGAGTTATGACAAATATATTAGTTATCAATAACTGCTTATGTTCAAATGAGATATGTAGTAAAGTGCCTTTACAACGACATGTCTAATACTACAACGGTTAGGCATTCCGTGACAAAAATCTTATGATAGCCTTTAATAACGTCATCGATTTTATGACCACTTTGGAGAAAAATTTGAAAGATTAGCTTGCGTTTATTTTGCCGAGGAGTTAAAAAACACGTTAGAAAGAAAAAATCACGAAAGGAAACGAAATCGTGACTTAAGAGACATTGTTTCTCATAACAGTTCAGCTAGCACGTATTGACAACGATTTGCCTATAGAACTAGCTAGATTTTTCTCACGGTACTAGGTGTAAGAATGAAAGAACATTTAGGAGGCAGAACATAAATGAAAATAGCCCCTTGCTAGCATCAAACCATTGACCGATTGTATCACGGCGGTGATCAACGATAACAGTAAAGAACAAAATGCCTACCTACTCACTCTCAGGATAGAGCAGCAGCTATATTTTGTGACTTTGGGTGAAAACAAATGAAACCGATATGCATGGGAATTAACGTGGACTATTACGCATATATGAATTTTATTGAGGCAGCAATGCTTAATGTTTTTAACTTCTAAATTGATATTTCCGCGACCAGGCCTTCAAATATGAAAATTTTAACTTCATGTTACGCGGAGCGTCTTGCTCCGGTGACAAGGTAAGATTGAATTAACAATGATATGGCAAATGGTCCCATCGATACTTACATTTTGAATAGTGGATTTATAACCGCTATAGGTTGGGCGTGTTTTATATGGTGTAGGATTACGTTATAGGGTATATACTATTTGCCAAATGCGTTTTGACTTTGTTCTGATCGAAATGAAAAGATTGACCTGCTTAACACACTCCGTTCACGTCGAGTAGCCATAGTAGCTTAGAACTGAATGTAGGCACACATCGTAAAGTTGTAAATGCAACCATAGTAGACGGTGATGATAATTAATTTCAACAATGTACTAGGATTTATCCTTACAGAGGCATTATGTTTAAACTTGCATGACATTTTCATTCAGATTTGTATCGCCTCGATGTTTCAACTTGTCACACACGATGATGTATGACTTTATTACTCTCTCCTGTACTACTATACTGCTACAATTCAGTACCAGATACCACCGACCGTGCGAATGCTACAGGGAGCAGTGTTGTAGCTTGGGTAGATACTGCATATTAACGGCAAGTTTAGGGCCAACATAGCTTGGGCTAGAGCTTGAGTCTGATCGAAGTTGATGCCAGTAAACTGTTGTAGCTGTAGCTGCTGCACAATCACCTGAACACTGCTAACGGCCTGGCAGTGAGACTGTTGCGCGATCATCCTGAGCTGTTGGCAGCACTGCTGCTGCATGACTTGGCAGTTTCTCAGCTGAAACACGGGTGATTGGAAGAAGGGGATTTCCACTGTGCTGCACTGCTGCCTTACGAACTCACCGCATGGGCTAAGCATCTGTTGCTGCAGCATGAGATGCGGCTGCAGCTGATATTGCCTGTAAACATGAGTAACAGCATCAAACTGCGTAGAGGCGCTGCATGCAGCAATAGCAAGGAGAGCAAAGAAGAAAATGATCTTCATTGTGGTGGGTTTCTAGTTCTTATGCTTTTGCTGTAATGTTTGAGTTGTGAGAATGATGAAGTGGGTTTACATTGTGCTTGTCTATTTATAGATGCGATGGATGGGTTTTCTTTGAATTCCTTATCGGTTGCTCTAGAGTGTTTGTTTTTGTTGGATATTCTATTGGGATCAGAGTGAGTCATGTCATTTGGAAGTTACGTGATGTGCCTCCACAGATGTCCTTGTATACCATCGTCAAAGTAACTTTATTGCCCATCACAGATACTTGATGGTTGGCAAGATAGATAATGTTATGACTCCTCACTCACTTTATATCTCAGTGTGACATGGTGTCACACCCAGAAATTCTCGAACCCGAATTTCTAAGCTGAATGTGCATTAAATCCCTGTCCAGGACCAGCCAGGGTACACAAACAACAATTGTTGACATACAGACCCACGCCTTACAAAAATATAAAAGATTACAAATACAGCGGGAAAGATAAAAGCGAGCTAAACCGGGAAGCTTGACTTCAGCAGCGGGCGACTCCACTCCACAGGCAAACCTTGACGGCAGCGACGAAACCAACCTCTCTGAGACGGCTCCAACTGAGAAGAACTTCAACTCTGGTGCGAGGGAAAAGAGAGCAAGACTGAGTACTACTGTCACGCCCGAAAATTCACTAGTAATTTCCGAACTTATTTGTGCATAAAATCCTCGTCCAGGAATCAGCCGAGGTACACAAACTGACAATTTAATATACAAATTCATCAAATTAACTAAAACGATAAATACTTACTTAAGATGCACTTAGTCCTCACCATGAAGAAAACTGCAGCGGAAAATAAAATCTAGCGAAGCTCCGGCTCCACTCCCACAGGCAGCTCAACTGGGGTATAAGCCAAACGTCTTCTCCTCCTAGATCTTTTTTCTTCAACTGAGGTTGATTGATTATTGCAAGAATGAGCATATGACATACTCAACAAGCCACACAGCAAATATGCAAGTGCACAAGGA